GGCACTTAATAAATGGTATTACTATTTTTATTATTAGTATAATCATCTTTTATTTCTATGACTCTTGAAAGGAGTATTGTTCTGGTTATCATATTTAGTATGCAAAAAAACCCTGGATAAACTAAAAATGCAACAAATGTGTATAAATCATAAAGATAAGTCATCAGGTTACGAGAAGGGGATCATAAGAATGGGAAGGTATCATGGACTGGGGTTGTAGCTCAGTGGTAGAGTGCTAGCCTCCCACCTGTGAGGCCCTGAGTTGGATCCTCAGCACCATACAAAAATAAACAAATAAAAATAAAGATACTGTGTCCATCTACAACTTAAAAAAAGAAAAAAAAAGAAAAAAGAATGAGAAGAAGTCCAATAAAGCCCCAGAAAAAGTCATGAAGGAAAAGACTGAGATTTAAGTAAAAATATTTAAATTTTTGTATGCAAAAGTCACAAAATTCAAGGGTGTTAAGAAATCATGGGGCTGGGATTGTGGCTCAGCGATAGAGAGCTCACCTGAGCACATTCGAGGTCCTGGGTTTGATCCTCAGCACCACATAAAAATAAGTAAATAAAATAAAGGTATGGTGTCCATCTACAACTAAAAAATATTTAAAAAAATAAATCATGAGTCAAAATATAGTAACCAAATGTTTACTATATAAAGAACTGAAATTTTAATAAGAGAAACTATGTATAGTACTTTGAATAGCTGCAACAATGCTGTTTTTCTAAGTCCTTAAACTCAGCTTGCTCACAGGTCAGTGGGGTCAGTGGAGGGGTTTGGCAGTGTGTAACCAGGCTCCACAGGGCTTGGCTCCAAACTGCAGGTTGATTTAGGTCTTCTTAGTGTTTCTCCATTTGGAAACCAACCTAAAGGGGAAGCAGCTACTCAGGTTATTTACAAGCTTTTGATGCGGTAAATAGGACAATAGGACACAAGTTATGCTCTCATTTATTTCACTGAAATTACCTTGTCATAAAATGCTAAAGCAGATGGTTCGTAAGATACCTGGAGGAAGAGAACAAACATGAAGTTCTTAAATATTGGTGATTTTACACTAGACAGAAGGCATAACATAAACTTTTTTGACTGGAGGTTCATTTTCGGGACTCAATAAAGCCTGTTTATAACAATATACTTGCAAGGAAATAAATAATAAATAATTGGCAAAGAGGAAAAGAAGCAGAATAATAAGGGAAGAAAATGGGGAGGGTGAGTCTAATAGGGTATGGAGCAGTGAGAACCAACAACAGCTGCCTTGACTGCTTGCTGTGGGAGGGTTCCCAAAAAGGAAGGAGAGTAAAAATGAGCATTAAATTTAGCCAAAAGAGGAGTTTTTATTGCTGTGGGGCTCAGTGAAATGGAGATAGCAAATCATCATCTGTCATAGTGATATGGGTTTTATATCAAGTAAACAGACTGGCTTTGGGCTCCCTGCCCTTAGAGGTTGGCATGAGATCCAGGTTGATGGGTTTGGTAATGGGAGATTTATGCCATTCGGGTGATGTGTGATAAGATACAGGCCCTGAAAGCGGCTATTAACACTGATTAACTCAAAAGTTGACCACCAGCACACACAGCCATTGTTTCCTCCAGCACTCTTTAGTGATGGGCTTTGGCTGGCTGGCTTCACAAGAGACAAATGCCATTACAGGAGACCAAATAACCTCATTTAGGCAGTTGTCAGATAATAGAGACGCTCTAGGTCTTAGCCTGACTGCATTAGTTTGATTTGTTACTACTATTCACCTTGTCCTGGGCATTAATGGAGACAAAGGCCTGGAATTACCAGGAGCAGAGATAAACTATGGATTAGAGCCTGTGGGTTTTGAGGGAAAGAGAATTCTATCTTAGATTTTTATTTCCATTTTCATTTTGCTTGATTTTTCATCAAAGTTAAAGTCCAGTTTTTCCCCAAATATCATATTCTTTCCAAATTACTACCAATTGTAATTCCAAAAAAATGTTACTGATTCATTATCTCCTTTAATAAGGTCAATCTTAACTTATAGGATTTTGTTTTACTTTTTTATACTGAGGATTGAATCCAGGGGCACTTTATTACTGACCTACATCCCCAGTTCTTTTTCATTTTTAATAATTCATTTATTATTGAATTTTGAGACAGGGTCCTGATATATATTTAATATTTATTTTTTAGCTTTAAGTGGACACAATATCTTTATTTTATTTTTATGTGGTGCTGAGAATCGAACCCAGTGCCTCACACATGCCAGGTGAGTGCGCTACCATCCCCAGCCCAGGGTCCTGATACATTGCTGAGGCTAGCTTCGAACTTGTGATCCTTCTACCTCAGCCTTCCTACTCGCAGAAATTATAGGCGCGTATCACTCTGTCCAGCCCTTTTAGGTTTTTGAGAATGATTTTAGGGGAAATACAGTAGTAATCTTATATATTATCTTGCTTCTTTAATATTCTTATATATGGTGAATCTGCTTCATAAAAGTTGAACTAAAACTGATATTCTGTTATTAGTATTAGAAAAAAATAAAAGGATGTGCACATTACATTTATAGTTACTCCTTTAATATTATAAATTCTGGTGTTACATTAACTTTTTCTTACTTTTAAATAAATGTTTCAGTTATAAAGGTGTTATTGCTATTATCAGTTATTTCAGATATAATATATATATATATCTTTAGTTATAAACACAATTTATTTCTGCTATAAGTAAACACTTTATTTATAAATAAATGGACTTGAATTTTAGGATTACCCAAATCAGTTACATAAAATTGTTGCTGGAAAATACTGAGATAATAATATTCTGGAGCTACTCTGTTTCTTTAGTCACCAGACTTTTTACAAATATGATAAATGTTATGATTAAATTAGGTGTTAGTTGATCAATGTAATATTATTACATTTCTTCTAGATTTTATATAGTTTTATACAGAATCCTTATACTCTTCAGATCCTAGACAAACTAATTTCTCTTTGAAAATCCCAATTTATAAAAAGCACTACTTCAAAAAATGTGCAATAGTTTTGTTTTGTTTTTTGGTACTGGGGATTGAACTCAGGGGCACTTGACTACTGAGCCACATCCTCAGCCCTATTTTGTGTTTTATTTAGAGACAGGGTCTCACCATTGCTGATGCTGGCTTTAAACTCTTGATTCTCCTGTCTCATTCCTCCTGGGCATGCACTACCACACGCAGCATGGAATAGTTTCTTGTTCTGTGCAATATTTGAAATGTTATTCTAAACTCCTCAGATATTAAGGAGAAAAAGCTGTAATTCTGACATAGCAAAGTATCAGAAAGATGCAGAACAAATTGTAAAGTATGATCACATCTAGAAAAAGAACAGCAAAAACAACAAATGTGTGAGTGTATAAATATACACATAGATGCTTTTATGATACACAAAAAGACCTTTGAAAACATTTAATGATGGTTATGTGAAGGATGAGGTTTGAGGGAGATTCTATACTGCTTAAATTGTTTTCAGTATATAAAACGTGATTTGGAGAATTAAATAAAAATTTATATTACATGACACATTTCTCTCCAACCCATTTCCCCAAGACCTACTCCTGGTGATTTCTAGTATTCCAACTTAATCAAATTTCATTGGAACCTAATGGGGACCAAAGAAGTTTCCCTGAGGAAAAATTTTGACTAATACCAATAATGAAAACAGCTCCTTCTATTGGAAAAAGTGGCCCAGACTACCTTGGAAGATATTTATATGTAACACCTCTTGTCTCCCTGCTATTCTTCGTTTCCTCCTCCTTCCCTGTCTCACAATATAACAGAATAAGCACTTTATTGCTGACCAGTTGTTGGGACGCAGAGCTCTGTACTCCAAATGTGTGCTTAATAAGTGATTTTAAAAGTTCTAAAATTGGGATCATGCTGCTTTCCTCAGACATAATAGACAAACTTCCTCAAATTAAAAAAATACATTTCTCTCTCTCTCTCCATATCTCCTAGAAAAAAATGTATAATGGTTACAGATTCAATAATTCCACAAGAACTTTCCACTCTGATCATCATTGGGAGAGAGGAAGGACATTGAGGGAAGAAGGAAAAGGGAAACAAGGGAGAATTCAATTTGAATAGACAAAGTTGAAAATGGCTTTCATTGGACAGACTGGGAATCCTCAAGCTAATATTAAAACAAAACAAAAACCCCAACAACAATCACCCACCCATTTAGGTCTTCTATTAACTAGAAAACAAACACTCAGATTTCCAGGGAAGAGGATTCCCTTCTTTTCACACATCTCCTCTCCCCATCTTTAAATGGCAGGTACAATGGTAAAATGGGAAATGAAAAGAAAGTGTTTTTTTTTCCCATTTAGAAAGTGCCCTGATTTTTTCAGTGACTATGTCAGAGCACATACAAAAGGCAGGCCAGTTATCCTACCTTCTCAGTCAATATAACATTATAACAAAATGTACAACTGATTGGAAATCATTTAACAGGCTACAGATAATAGCCAGATAATCACTGTCACTTAAAGGAATGAACGTAGAGCACAACATTAAATGAACAAGAAGACTTTGAAAATTTTGCATTTGTAGCTTAATTCTTTTGTTCAGTGCACTATCAATGGTGTGAATATGACAGCTGATGCTTTTATATATCTCTGCTTTGACATAATGATTCCCTTTTTAAAAATGTAGCACCTGGCATGTTATAAGGATTTATTTTGATATATGGTGAGAAATTCTCACTGCCGAATCTATAAATCAAGAGAAACTGAAATGAGTGAGACTTAGAGAATCAAAGGTTGTGTTTTCTTTCATATGTGGAAGATACAGAGAGAAAAAGAGGAAAAGGAATATCATAAAAATAGAAGGGAGACCAGCAGGGTAGAGAAAGGAAGTTAGAGGAAGGGAGGAATGGAGGGGCAAGGAGAAATCCTGGGAATTAAATTGGTCAAATTATGTGCATATACAAATATGCCACAATAAAACCCATTATTATGTAAAATTATTATGCACCAATAAAAAAGACACACATAAGATTCATGAATAAATCATATTTTATCATATGGTTAAGCATAATCATGTTTCAAATGTGTTTGAAGAAAACTAATTGAAGTAGATTGGATTATTTTACTTGAAATACTCTGTAAATGGAATCCAGCTTGTGGAATTAGTCAGGAGTTTACTGATTTTAGCATACTAATTTATCAGATTAACTTTGCTCACTTACAAAATAGCTAGCTTTTCTGAAAATTTTTATTAAAATATATAGGAAAGGTCTTTTATTGTAACTAACAGTGTCCAAATATAATGTGTACCATGCTATAATCATAATTATTTACAATACATTTTGGAAAAAAAGGATAATATTTAGACTAAATGCAGGAAAAAAAACATTACATTTTTAACACTTGATATTTGCATTTATTTCTCATGATCTGCAATTGGAAGATAATTTCACATATTTAGTTTTCTACCTATTCCAGGAGATTTGTGTTGAAATTTTTTTTCGCCATTAGAAACTGTGATTCTCTATGGGATCTCTTCAGTTTTGCACGCCGATTTTGGAACCAAATCTAAAATTAAGGAAAAATAAGATGGGTCTCAGAAACATTATTTTATTATTATTAATATTTCAATCATCACAAGTAACAACTAAATTTGAAAATTACCTGGATTCTGTCTTCTTCAAGGTTCAATTTTTGAGCTAAGTCTTCTCTGATATCAATGCCAGGATAGCAGTTTACTCTAAAGACATTTTCCAATACTTCAATCTAGAATAAAAAAAAATTCTTTAAAATGTTGATATTCCATAAGTCACCAAAATGGGCTTTTAATTTGTATAACAAAATAAATGCCCTCAATCTTTGGGCAACTAATTTAAATACCGCTTTTAAAGTAATTATCCAGAAACTGTTAAAATATGATAGTCTATTGTTTCATTAACAAGGCTTCTAAAACTGTGATCCCAAAGTGAATGAATAGCCTTTTGCTCAAGGGAACAGCAGCTAAAGCCTTTGTATTACCATTAATGGATGAAAACACTTCCCACCTGGTTTTGGGTAAAAGCAGTTCTAGGTCTTCGGCCTCTATACCAACTCAACTCTTTTTTCAAAGATAATCTTTCTGAGGCTGAAAAGTAATTTTCATATTTCAAAGCTCTTTCTTCTGGCATTAGGTGATCCACCATACAAGGAAACGAGATCCCATTGGGAAGACTCGAGCCGTGACATAGGTTAGCATCTTTCTCTAAAATCAGAAAAATAAACCCCATCCAATACTATGTTCCACAAAGTTCTATAAGAAGTAATTTCAGTAACTTGTCTTTAATTTTCTTAGTGGAATCCTGGGTTTCACAAAAGAACTGCCCCCTCATTAACTCAAAAGCCAGAATGAAGATCCTGCCTTGGTGACAGAGAGCATTTTGTATTTTATTATTTATTTTTCAGTGTATATAGGTATAGACTATCTAATGAGTCAAATAAACAAATTTTCTGAAGTAAATGCAGACTTTTAGCATTGCCTGTGAGTGAACTTATACCCACTAAGATCTAAGGCATTTTTATTTCCAATAGGACTCAGATGGAAGCATTACAAGCGCTAGATGCTTCAGCTATATCATGAGTGAAATCATAGTTTCTAACTGTATGCAGTGTGAAATAAAGGACAAACTAAAACTCAAATGAAATTAAATATTAAGTACTGGCATACCTGAGGAGTTGCAGGTGTCTGCCCAGGGCCTGTGAGGTTTCACGGATGGAACACAATCTTTCTTCTGGTCCAGTCCTAAAATGCTCTCAATTGAAAAGGAACAAGGTGAGGGTTTGCTTTCCCTAAGCTGAGCACCTTCCTGAAGGCTGGGAGACATCCTCTCATGGGCTACAGTGCAAAAGCTCAGGTCTTTCTGATGGCTTGGCCCCAAGCATACAGGGCTGGAATCTTCCTGCAGCTCAACTTATAGCTCCGCTGACAAGGGGGCTGGATTTAGAACGTCACTAATTAAAATCTTGTTTTAGAAAGTTTTAGCATGTCAATGAACTCTTGCCCAGCCAGCAGCTTAAGGAGTTAATTGTTTATTTGTTTGCAAGTAATTAGCAACTAATGGCTACACCAGGGGGGCCACCTACAGGGACAAAAAGTGTTATCTCTCCTAAGCAGAACACAGATTTAACTTTCTTGAAAGAAGTGATGCAGGAAAATAGCCCTCCTCTTTTATTTGAAATCATTAATGTATAAAATCATGCTTTATATTCTGAAGTTTATACTTCCATGGACTCCAGTTACTTAAACATACAGGCAAGATAGGAGAGCAGTCAAGTAATAAATAATCTAATTTAAGTGAATTTTCTTCCAAGGAAATTGGAAAAAATAATAATCTCTTAATACTATTACAGTAATTCTGATGAAAATACCTGTTTTTCATATGCATATGTAATAGTGAATGTTGTCAATGAAAACACAATGGTATTTGGAGTGCAGCATACTGGAAAAGGTTGGCAAAGTTATTAATACTGAGTGTAATTGTCTTCCAAGTGCTTGGATTAATTCATAGGAACAGTTGCACCAAGTATTTTAAATAATTAATGGGCTAATTCCTTTCCTTCATCTCTTCTTTTAAATGAGAGAGATACAAGTTTATACAAAGATTCATATGTTACTACTTCCAAGCAATTTAGAAGCACTACTATTCAAACTAAAGGGAATAATTTCTCTCCCTAACATGGTTGTTTCAAAGAAAAGAACATAGTTAACTGTTCTGTGAGGCTGATGATTGAAACCCAGGGCCAGGGCCTTGTGCATGCTAGGCAAGTGCTTTACCACTGAGCTATTCCCCAGCCCCAGTTAACTATACTTTCTTTAAAAAAAAAAAAAAAAAATTCCCTCTTTTCTCTCTTTCTCTCTTTTGGTGTTGGGGATCAAACCCAAGGCCTAGCATGCTAAGCAGACATTCTACCAGTGAGCTATATTTCTTGCTCTGTTGATCTTTTGAGGGACTGGGGTCAAGAGATTTCAGGAAGATGATAAGGCTTATAAAAAAAAATCAAAAAACCAAAAAACAAAAATGTAAGAATAGAATATTTTAATTTCATGATCCCAAGAAAACTTGAAAAGAAAATTATAGCTGCTAATTTGGAAAGATTTTGAGGTGGTTCTTCTCCCAAAAAGGCATAATAGTTAATAATCTTATATTCTGCTCTTCTTCCATTACCTTCTTTTTTAGAGAAAGAGAGAATTTTTTTAATAATTATTTTTTAGTTTTCGGCGGACACATTATTGTTTGTATGTGGTGCTGAGGATCGAACCTGGGCCGCACGCATGACAGGTGAGCACGCTACCCCTTGAGCCACATCCCCAGCCCTTCTAGTACCTTCTTGAAGATAAATTTAAGGGCAGAGCTTAGTCCATCATTTAAAAGACTGTCAGACTTTTCTTCAGGAAAGAGAAAAGGCAGTCTTCACTTACAGACGAAATAGCCTCCATAAGATGGGGCTCAACTTCATCAGATTTTATCCTATCATATCACAAATATTAAGCTAAATTCCTTATGCAAGCTGTGGGGTTGAACAAAGGATCTCACACATACAAAACATCAACAGGCACACAGAAGAATGGGTTTATACACATACATGTAAAATCATTCTGAGGATGTATAAACCAGTAAACATCTTGTGAAGATTTTGTATGTGTCTTAAATAGACTGTGCCAAGGTGGCGGTGACCTTAATCTGGGAAGACTTGGAGGAAGAGAGAACTCAAAATTTTCCCAGATTTCTTTCTCTTCTTGAGACATTCATTCATTCCACAACTGGTTGAACAAATTGTACCAGAAAAAAATAGAATAGAATCCTTGCCTTCATTAAATGTGCAATGGTTCTGGGTGGTGTGGGAGCTGGCAGATAGGCAACAAACAATAATTATATGTAAATTGTTTGGTAGGTTAGCCAAGAATAAGCATGAGAAAAGGAAACAGGTGAGCCAGGTAAGATGGATCATTACCAGGAGGTGGAGGGGTCGATGCTTGGGCAGGCTTCACTGAGACCCTCATACCTCAGGTTAGTGCCTCAGAGGAACAAGGCACAAGTAAGCTGTAGCAGATGGTAAAGCAACTTCACTTCCTAATTGCTTCTGTATTAACAAGGACATTCCAACATTTTTATTCAGCTTGAACTGATTTTATTTGGAATTAAAACACTCTTTTACATATGAATGAGTAGATAAAAATAAAAGGTCGGAAAGAATTTTTTCTTATATGCTCACAGAACGGATTTTTATAGGGTGCTTAAGATGTGCCAGACACTATTATAGGTGCTTGTGTTCCGTGATGAACACAATATGGTAATTTCAGAGAATGATAAACACATTGAACAGAAGTAAACAAGGTAATGATGAGGGGCAGATGTCTTTAACCATGGTGAGGTGGTCAGTGGCCCAGGAAGGCTTGTTCAAAGAAGTGACATTTTACCTAAAGCTGAGAATGGGAGTGAGCCAGTATGCTAAGAACCTGGAAAAGCACAGCAGCCAGAGGGAATAATAAGTACAAAGGTCTTGAAGTTGAAAAACACTTGGAATATTTGAGGAAGAAAAAGGAAGTAGGTGGAGTGGAGTTAGTAATTCCAGATGCTTTCAGAGAGCTTGGCCAGGCTTAATAATGGATGGGCTTCATGGTGCAAAGGGAAGTCAGGGAGGGTCTGAAGCTGGAAGTGATACATAGGATATATTTTTAAAATCACACACTGGGTCTGGGAGTGTACATAGCTCAGTGATAGAATTCTTTTCCTAGTTTGTGCAATACCTGGGTTTGGTGGCCAGCGCTGAGGAAAAAAAAAAACAAAACTTCATTCTGGTTACTATATGGAAAGGCAAGAGGGGAACAAGACTAGAGTTTATTTATCCAACATGTATTTACTGAGCATACATTATGTGCTAGGCAAGGTGTGAAGAGTAGAGTGGTAAAAACAATTGTTTATAGAGGCTGGAGATGATGACCCTTAAATAAAAGGGTAACACTGAGTTTGGAGAGACATGTAATTTATTAAGAAGTTGTAGGATTACTGAATAATTGAGTAACTGGTTCCAATTCTTCAATCCTAATGAGATATATATATATATATATATATATATATATATATATATATACACACACACACACACACACACACATATCATCCTCTTGCTGTGACTTCATGGCACTTAAGTTTTATCTAGAATCTAAAGGAGGGTATTTCAAGAAATATGACCCAGTGTATTGCCAGACCAGAAATGTTCCATTTACTCTTCAATTTCCTTCAAGTCTGGCTGTGTCTCTACCTTTCAAGCTTGCCAAAGTTGCCAGTAACTTCCTTATTAACAAACCTAGTAGATATATTTCTGTCTTCATCAGAACCTCTCAGCAGCATTGACACAGTTTGTCATTCATTTATCCTTTCACCTAATATTAGCTAAGTACTATTTTGAATGTTAAGAAGTAAAGAAAACAGAAATCCTAGAGAGATGAGACAACAAACAATAAACAGAAACAGGTAATGAGGTAAAAGGCAATAGTGCTTTAGAAAAAATTGGAGTGGGCCAAGAGACATCAGGAGTGCTGGGAAAGAGGTTGCAATTTTAAAAGGGAGAAAGGTAGGCCTCATTGAAAAGGTGATATCTGAGTAAATACTTGAAGGAGGTTAAGGAGTGAGCCTTGAGAATACATGGGGTACAAACATTCCAGATAGTGACAATGACCAATGTAAAGGCCTTAAGGCAGGATTGTGCCTGGTGTTTTTGTGAAAAGGAAGCAGAGTCTAACATGGTTAGAACAAAGTGAGCACAGGAGAGAGTATTAGATATTGAGATCAGATAGGTAAGGAAAGCTAACAGACTATGTAGGGTCCTGCACGCCACGGAAAAGATTTTGACCTTTATTTAGATGCAGAGCTATTTTTTTTTTAAATTTTTGTAAATAGATACAATAACTTTATTTATTTTTATGTGGTGCTGAGGATCAAACCCCGTGCCTCACACATGCTAGGCAAGTACTCTACCACTGACCACAACCCCAGCCCCCAGAGCTATTTTTTGAGTAGAGTTGCAGCATGAACTGACTTGTGTTTTTAAATGATTCCTCTGCCTGCTTTGTTGATAGAAAACTGTAAGGAAGTCTGGAAGCAGGAATCACAAGGGATTCCTCACCCTCTTTTCCTTGACCTTTTTCTCTCTGTTGATTCTATTTCCATATCTCCACATATTCCCCCTGACTTAGTAGCTACTCCTTCTTCCCCAACACCCAAATGTTAGAGGACCCTAGACCCAATCTGAGACTTTTCTTGTATGCAGCTCCAATCTCTGAATGATGTCATGCAAATCTGGCTCTTAAGACCATTTCTTTGCCAATGATCACAAACTTAGAGCTCCAGCCCTGAGCTCATCATACTCATATAGCTAGCAGTTCCTTGCTATCCAAACCAGAGCTCTTCATTTCTTTCCAATTTTTCTTCTCCCAGCCCACGCCTTCAAACCCCAATAGATGGCATTTGCTCAAGCCAAAAAACAACCATTCTTTTTTTTTATTGGTTGTTCAAAACATTACAAAGCTCTTGACATATATTTCATACATTTGATTCAAGTGGGTTATGAACTCCCATTTTTACCCCGTATACAGACTGCAGAATCACTTCAGTTACACATCCACGTTTCTACATATTGTGATACTAGTGACTGTTGTATTCTGCTATCTTTCCTATCCTCTACTATCCCCCTTCCCCTCCCCTCCCATCTTCTCTCTCTACCCCATCTACTGAAATTCATTTCTCTCCTTTTTTTTTCCCCTTTCCCCTCACATCCTCTTATATGTAATTTTGTATAACAATGAGGATCTCCTTCCATTTCCATGTAATTTCCCTTCTCTCTCCCTTTCCCTCCCACCTCTCGTCCCTGTTTAATGTTAATCTTTTTCTCATGCTCTTCCTCCCTGCTCTGTTTTTAGTTGCTCTCCTTATATCAAAGAAGACATTTGGCATTTGTTTTTTAGGGATTGGCTAGCTCCACTTAGCATAATCTGCTCTAATGCCATCCATTTCCCTGCAAATTCCATGATTTTGTCGTGTTTTAGTGCTGAGTAATACTCCATTGTGTATAAATGCCACATTTTTTAAATCCATTCATCTACTGAAGGGCATCTAAGTTGGTTCCACAGTCTGTCTAGCTATTGTGAATTGTGCTGCTATGAACATCGATGTAGCAGTATCCCTATAGTACGCTCTTTTAAGGTCTTCAGGGAATAGTCCGAGAAGGGCAATAGCTGGGTCAAATGGTGGTTCCATTCCCAGCTTTCCCAGGAATCTCCATACTGCTTTCCAAATTGGCCGCACCAATTTGCAGTCCCACCAGCAAAGTACAAGTGTACCCTTTTCCCCACATCCTCGCCAGCACTTGTTGTTGTTTGACTTCATAATGGCTGCCAATCTTACTGGAGTGAGATGGTATCTTAGGGTGGTTTTGATTTGCATTTCTCTGACTGCTAGAGATGGTGAGCATTTTTTCATGTACTTGTTGATTGACTGTATATCCTCCTCTGAGAAGTGTCTGTTCAGGTCCTTGGCCCATTTGTTGATTGGGTTATTTGTTTTCTTATTGAAGAAACAACCATTCTTAATGCCTCCCTTTCCCTTATCTCTATGTTCCATTCATTAGTGAGACATGTTCTTTTACTTCTGAATCAGTGAGCTATTTCATCCAAATGTTATGTGTACAAATCTCAGTGGCTTAAAAATGATTTTTTTTTCCACTCACAAAATTGCAGATCAGTTAATGTTTGTCTGAGCACAGCTGGACTCAGCTGACTTAGCTACAAGTTGTGGGATCCGTTGGGGTCTGATCCATGTGTGTCCATTCTGGGGCTCAAATTGAAGGACAGTAGCTACCCCAGGGATGATGCCATGGTGATGTCAGAAGCCCAGGAGGATAAACCAATCTTGCTGGTACATTTTGAGCTTCTACTCCAGTTACTTAAACATATAGGCAAGATAAGTACACTGCTGTGATTCCAAGGAAGGGAGAGTAAGGGAACTTGTGTTTATCAAACAAAATAAAAACAAAAACAAGCAACTGAAATCAGAATTGGGAGCAGTGATGTGTAACCAAATAGTAAATGTGGAGTTGCCTCCAAGGACAAATATCTTTACCTTCATTGAAACTATACTAGTAACCTTTAGACTAGCAGTAGGTAAGAGAGCTGAACTGAAGACAATCATTCCAGGCCAGGAACATCAACCTCTTGGTTCCTGGCAAAAACAGATCCAATCCTCTCTGGATGAAACTGTTCCTAATTTAGGTTCAAAAGATTCTTACAAATTAAGAGCAAGCAAATATAAGTTTATAGTCAAAGATAATCAGACATACAAGGCCAGCCACCATGAAGGAAAAACAGCAGAAACAAGATTTGCACCTCATAGCAGAGATTGCTAGTTTTCTCCCAATATCCCTTTCATATTCCCTTAGCAGTGACATAATTTTTAGGTAAAGGTTAATAAATACATTTCCCAGACTACCCTGAACATTGGTGTATAGTGAATAACTAGTAGAAGCAATGTATGTAAGTTTTAAGTCCAGCTATCACCTTTCTTGTTTCCATTTTTCCTTTTTTGCTATCTGGACTGTGGATGAGATGGCTGGAGATAGAGGTATTGAGAATGGCAATATAATAAAAGAGATGGGAGCCTGGAATCCTAATGATTGTGGGTTGGATATTTCATACCATTACTGGACTAGCTATTTTGACAGAGAATGTCAATCTTGCTATTTGGGGGGTCTCTATGTTACAGCAGTTAAATCTAAATACTAACAAATAATAGAGTCTAAAGAAATTCAGATGTGGCTGTAACTATCAGGTACAGAATATAGAGTAATTATAAATGAAAGTTTAAGAAACTAAAAGTTGGGTTAGGGATATAGCTCAGTTGGTAGAGTGCTTGCCTTGCATGCACAAGGCCCTGGGTTCAATCCCCAGCACCAAAAAAAGAAAAGAAAAAACTAAAGGTTAGAATCATACATAGGGGCAAACAAAATAAAATGATCAGGAATGACTGGGAAGATTTTTAAAAGAATCAAATGAAAATTATAAAATGAAAAAAATATAATTATTGAAATGTATTCAATGGATAAGTTAAACAGTATCGTAGACAGTCTTAAGTATACTTACCCATACTCTGGCTAATATTCTTTATTATAATCATTTAAAAATTTTTTTTTAATATTTATTTTTTAGTTTTGGCGGACACAACATCTTTGTTTGTATGTGGTGCTGAGGATCGAACCCGGGCCGCACACATGCCAGGCGAGCGCGCTACTGCTTGAGCCACATCCCCAGCCCATGAAACATTTAAAATTATTGTGCATTTGGTAGGCAAAATAATCTTTTTTGTATTTCTTCAAATAAGGTTGGACATTATTTCTTTATATGTTTATTGGTCAGTGTATATTTCCGTTTTGTGAAATCATGGGATATGTCCTTAATCCATTTTTCTATTAGGGTGAATTTTTCAGAAGGTAGGACTAGAAGTAGGAATTGAATGTGAAGAAAAATGAGGAAACTTTTTGTGTTCTGTATTTTTTTTATTTTTATTTTTTGGCTGTAGTTGGACACAATACCTTTATTTCACTTATTTATTTTTATGTGGTGCTGAGGATCAAACCCAGGGTCTCATACGTGCGAGGCAAGCGCTCTACCCCTGAGCCATAACCCTAGCCCTGGGCTCTGTATTTTTATGTTATATATTTTGATGGAGTTTGGATGACACAGATGTATCCATTTGTCAATAATCATTGATTAGTACCTAAGATTTTTCACTTCATAGTACTATGTTTTTAATCTCTAAAAGCATAAACAGTATTGAACAGTTAATGTTATATATGCAGAAGAATTTAAAAGAGAAATATATTGACATCTATAACTTGCTTCAAGATGCATAAAAAATAAAAGATTTATGAATGGATAAATACATGATGTTACCTATATAATATGATTATTCTAGATCAATAGAGCCTCTAATCCAAGAGTTTTCTGAGATGAGGCAAATATCTACA